GTGTGTGTTATATGCAACAGCATTAAACACAGATATCAGATATACAACCAAATGTGACAAAAACAAACTCCTGAACAGACAGTTGTTTCAGATTTGTGACGTTATTGTTGGAAGAGTTTTAAAGGAGGAGAGAGGAGGATCAGAAGGGAGATAATTAGAGATGATTCATGGATTCATCTTCTGTTGATCTTTAGGAGAGAAATGTGTGAAACTTCCTGGATCACCTTCATTTACTGACTTAAAAACTTTGTTAGTAACTGTAGTCTGAACAGTTTACACAGTAATTACTGTTGTTGTAACTCATTCAGTCCTTATTTACAACATATTCATTCTATTATTCAAAAATACATGAACTTTGTAGACTTTAACTCTGCAGGCTGCTGGATATGTTTGTAAAGTTTATTATGAGCTGACTTGTGAACAGAGTCTCCACCTCTGACCTCTGTTCCTGTCCAGCACTGTAGTTTACTGTGTGGACGGATGGACAGCAGAGACCAACATGTGTCCTCTCCCCTCTCGTGGTGTCTGTCCATGCAGATCCAGCAGCTTCATTTGTCTCTCTGAGAAGTAAAGCAGTTTCATACTGTAGGGACTCTTTCCTCAGTAGAAGTAGTTCAGACGCAGTCTGAGTAGAGGACGGACAGACTGGGGACACATTTGGAAAACAAGGACAAAGATTCAAAGCTTCTAGGAAATAATAAACTTCACATGTTTAATATTTCAGCTGTTTGTTCAGGCTCAGAAATGCTGATGTCTGTATTCAGATGGGAAATAATATCAATAATCAATAATCTCCAAACAAGCAGAAAGCAGATGAAAGTAAAATGTCTCCTGTCTGATGGTGCGGAGGACGACTTGACTGACAGCTGTAGAAATGAGCAACATGAAGTCAGCGTGCAGCTGCAGCAGAGGAGTTAGTCTCTCCTTTCTGCAGCTGGGACTCAAGTTGTCTGAGAACAGGGTTTGAAATGCTGCTGAGTTCACATGTGCTGTTTTATAGAGACCTGATCTCTGCTGCTTCCATCAAAAGATGTTTGAACAACAGGAAACATTACAAGTCCTGACTGGAGGCTTTTCTCTTTCTGTTCAGGGACACAGGAGCTGAAGGTGAAGCCTGGAGAGAATGCCACTCTTCAGTGTCAGAGTCACAGAGGTGCTGACATCACAGTGATAAAGTGGATCAGAACTGACCTGAAGTCAGATGATTTTGTCTTCTACCTCACCCCTGATCAAACAAACGGAGAGTACCAGAATTCATTGTTTCAGGATCGAGTGGAGCTTCAAGATCCAGAGAAGAAGAACGGAGACGCTTCTGTGATTCTGAAGAACGTCAACATCAACGACACTGGAACATATGAGTGTTGGATTAAAGAGAGAAACAATCCAGGCCAAGCTAAACTCATCCGCACCATCGAGCTGACAGTGACAGGTGAGCGTGTATTTCATTTTAAAACAGATCTTTTTCTACGTTTGCACCTCCCGTTCAGACTAAAACGGTGAAAATGTAGAAGTTTGGAAAAGCTGCTGAACCGTTTTGCGTTTCAAAACTCCGGGTAGCGTTTTTAGTGCAGACGGGCAACAACAGAGGACTTTAGAAACGATGACGCAGACGCTCACATTCGGCTCTCTGATGGTTCGTAAGTCATGGAAAGCAGAAACACAATTCTACTGATTTTTATTAAAATATGAAGTACAGTGTAAATAACACTTATCTGCCTACACTTGATCTGTGCAGGTCGCCGTATTTACTTTGCAACGACTTCCAGCTGGTTTTCCAGCTGTCACTGTGGTGAGTGAGATGGGCGGGGCTAAGGGCTGCGTAAACGTCCATGTGGAATAGACCAACAGGCCTGGGGAGAAGGGGGGTTGGCACGTGTCGCTCAACCTTCTGCCAACTTTATCATTATTGATAAAAGAGTAAAGGCAAAGGAAGGCGGCCCACTGGGAACTGTCACGGTGCTCCAGACCGCCACTGATGTGAATATTCAGAAGAAGCTCTGTTCCTGTCCAGCACTGTAGTTTACTGTGTGGACGGATGGACAGCAGAGACCAACATGTGTCCTCTCCCCTCTCGTGGTGTCTGTCCATGCAGATCCAGCAGCTTCATTTGTCTCTCTGAGAAGTAAAGCAGTTTCATACTGTAGGGACTCTTTCCTCAGTAGAAGTAGTTCAGACACAGTCTGAGTAGAGGACGGACAGACTGGGGACACATTTGGAAAACAAGGACAAAGATTCAAAGCTTCTAGGAAATAATAAACTTCACATGTTTAATATTTCAGCTGTTTGTTCAGGCTCAGAAATGCTGATGTCTGTATTCAGATGGGAAATAATATCAATAATCAATAATCTCCAAACAAGCAGAAAGCAGATGAAAGTAAAATGTCTCCTGTCTGATGGTGCGGAGGACGACTTGACTGACAGCTGTAGAAATGAGCAACATGAAGTCAGCGTGCAGCTGCAGCAGAGGAGTTAGTCTCTCCTTTCTGCAGCTGGGACTCAAGTTGTCTGAGAACAGGGTTTGAAATGCTGCTGAGTTCACATGTGCTGTTTTATAGAGACCTGATCTCTGCTGCTTCCATCAAAAGATGTTTGAACAACAGGAAACATTACAAGTCCTGACTGGAGGCTTTTCTCTTTCTGTTCAGGGACACAGGAGGTGAAGGTGAAGGCTGGAGAGGACGCCACTCTTCAGTGTCAGAGTCACAGAGGTGCTGACATAGAAGTGATAAAGTGGATCAGAACTGACCTGAAGTCAGATGATATTTATGTCTTCTACCTCACCCCTGATCAAACAAACGGAGAGTACCAGAATTCATTGTTTCAGGATCGAGTGGAGCTTCAAGATCCAGAGAAGAAGAACGGAGACGCTTCTGTGATTCTGAAGAACGTCAACATCAACGACACTGGAACATATGAGTGTTGGATTAAAGAGAGAAACAATCCAGGCCAAGCTAAACTCATCCGCACCATCGAGCTGACAGTGACAGGTGAGGTGATTTCATTTTAAAACAGATCTTTTTCTACGTTTGCACCTCCCGTTCAGACTAAAACGGTGAAAATGTAGAAGTTTGGAAAAGCTGCTGAACCCGTTTTGCGTTTCAAAACTCCGGGTAGCGTTTTTAGTGCAGACGGGCAACAACAGAGGACTTTAGAAACGATGACGCAGACGCTCACATTCGGCTCTCTGATTGGTTCGTCTAAGTCATGGAAAGCAGAAACACAATTCTACTGATTTTTATTAAAATATGAAGTACAGTGTAAATAACACTTATCTGCCTACACTTGATCTGTGCAGGTCGCCGTATTTACTTTGCAACGACTTCCAGCTGGTTTTCCAGCTGTCACTGTGGTGTGTGAGATGGGCGGGGCTAAGGGCTGCGTAAACGTCCATATGAAATAGACCAGAGGTCACTAATAGGCGGACCGCGGTCCGGATCCGGACCCAGCTGTTGTCCTCTCCGGACCACCGACCTACAGCCGATTTATTATTGAGACATACCAATCTAAACTCATCCGCACCATCGAGCTGACAGTGACAGGTGAGCGTGTAGAGCTCAGAGTGTCTCTTTGTCTCTCAGGTGAGCGTGTAGAGCTCAGAGTGTCTCTTTGTCTCTCAGGTGAGCGTGTAGAGCTCAGAGTGTCTCTTTGTCTCTCAGGTGAGCGTGTAGAGCTCAGAGTGTCTCTTTGTCTCTCAGGTGAGCGTGTAGAGCTCAGAGTGTCTCTCTGTCTCTCAGGTCAGCGTGTAGAGCTCAGAGTGTCTCTTTGTCTCTCAGGTCAGCGCGTAGAGCTCAGAGTGTCTCTTTGTCTCTCAGGTGAGCGTGTAGAGCTCAGAGTGTCTCTTTGTCTCTCAGGTGAACGTGTAGAGCTCAGAGTGTCTCTTTGTCTCTCAGGTGAACGTGTAGAGCTCAGAGTGTCTCTTTGTCTCTCAGGTCAGCGTGTAGAGCTCAGAGTGTCTCTTTGTCTCTCAGGTGAGCGTGTAGAGCTCAGAGTGTCTCTTTGTCTCTCAGGTGAGCGTGTAGAGCTCAGAGTGTCTCTTTGTCTCTCAGGTCAGCGTGTAGAGCTCAGAGTGTCTCTTTGTCTCTCAGGTGCGTGTAGAGCTCAGAGTGTCTCTTTGTCTCTCAGGTGAGCGTGTAGAGCTCAGAGTGTCTCTTTGTCTCTCAGGTGAAGCTGCTTCCTGGTAGTTGAGCTGAGAAACATCACAGATCAGATGTTTGTGTTTTAGAAAGATGTTGCTGATGAGACTTTAGAGGAAACAGCTGCTACGAGTCATGTGATCAAAGTGCAGTAGATAATGTCTGACATTCTGTTCACCTGCTGACAGCTGATACCTCACACCTGTTTCTGCTTTTCACACAGATGGACACAAGAAGGGAAATGTTGGCCTGATGGTTGGTCTGACAGTTGTTACTGTGCTTCTTGTTGCTGTTGTTGGAACGATGCTCTTTAAAAAACGCAGAGGAGAGACACCTCACACAGGAGGAGAGACGCCTCACACAGGAGGAGAGACGCCTCACACAGGAGGAGAGACGCCTCACACAGGAGGAGAGACACCTCACACAGGAGGAGAGACAGACGCCCTAAACCCTCCAACATCAGGCTGACAGATCCAGGTGAGTGTGTCGAGCTCAGAGTGTCTCTTTGTCTCTCTGTACCACGAAGCAGGATTTGAGCTTATCCAGGTAACTTCGGGGTTTTCAGCACCTTGACGATGGTTCACTTCTTACCGGGGTAGATCGTCATGGTAACTTATGCTGAACGGCTAACCTGCTCCGGAGCAGGTTATGTTCCAGATAAGAGATCAACTCTATAAACACTGTCCGCCTACTGACCAATCAGCTCTCTGGAAAATGACATCACCATCTGTAGGAAATCACACAGACTGATTTACAGGCTGCTTTATGTTTGCAGCAGTGAAACTTTTGTACAGCGAGATCATCCTACAGAGACTGAAGCACTAAAACCTTGTAGGTTTGTAAGATGTGACAGTGAGCTTACTCACCACTTTGAAATGCTTTTTATATTTTACTTGATCCAAGTCTGTTTCACACATCCTGTCACAGCCGTTAAAATAAATGGGTTTTCTTTTTATGTGAGGTTGAATATTCTGAGGATATAAATTAAAAGGCCTATTAAATTAAGTTAAGATGAGTTTATTTTAACATTATGTTTTATTTGTTTCTTATGTTACAGAGATCTTTTGTTATGTGGGAGAGTTTTCAGTAAATGTTGAGTTTCAGTCTTTTGCCACTATTAATAATAATAATAATAAATAATAATATTAGCCTCTTTAACGGCAACGCGCTCAGGGCTGGATTTTGAAACCCTGTGTTGAATTATCAGGTTAATAACCAGCATCATGTGACCATTTAGCCTGATCATGGTTGTTAGTGTCAGTGAAGCCAGATAACAAAAGACATCCTGGGCATGTTGAACTTGCTTCGTAGTAAAGGCTCCTGGTAGTTGAGCTGAGAAACATCACAGATCAGATGTTTGTGTTTTAGAAAGATGTTGCTGATGAGACTTTAGAGGAAACAGCTGCTACGAGTCATGTGATCAAAGTGCAGTAGATAATGTCTGACATTCTGTTCACCTGCTGACAGCTGATACCTCACACCTGTTTCTGCTCTGCAGGTCACACAGCTGGACACAAGGATGAACCACTGACGGAGGGAACAAGGAGAAACACACTGATGTTTCGGTGGGAGCAGCCAAACTGAAATAGAGACAGCTGTGGCTCAGAAGGAACGGAAAAGTTTAGCTGGGTAATGCCAAATATATTGTGTTGTGTTGGTTGTAGCTCACAACTTCTCGTCAAGTCTCAGTGTTGAAGGGAGCGGTTTTGTGTTTCGTGAGAATTGTTTCCAAATAAGTTTGCTATTGAACAAGACTGTGGTCCAGTCCGCAGCTGTCTACATGAAAACACAAAAACACGCTATCAAGCGCTGTCAGGAGCATGCCAAACCACCAGGCGGGGATATGAGCCAGTTTTACCATCTACACAATAACACTACAACCGGCGTTTCTTAAAATCTTCACCCTGGCAGGAGTTTGCAAAAGTGTTCGCTTTCAGTGACCTGATACTGCGTTTCTATGTGGATGAATGGCCAAACTGCGTTTTTACCCTGTAAACACCCCGTGTTCCCGTACACAGGGCCTGTGTGAGCGCTATCTCTGTAAATGCACAAGTTGATCTCTCTCTCTGTCTACTCAGAACTTTGTATGTTTATACATCAATACTATATCTGTATCAATACTATGTACTGATTAAAAATGTGACTAGTTCTTTATTGTGGACGTGTTTACATTTGCTGACGTTGTCTCAAAAGCCTGGAATGCAGGTACGCTGCAGATTATAACTCTGGTTTCTCCAGTACTGTAAACTGTAGTATAATCCACAGCACACTGTACCTGAACAGTGAACTGTTTCTGTGCACTGTTGACACACACAGTCATATCTTTGACTTAAAACACAATATTTCACAGTATAAAACTGCTACTGTTACTAAAGTCACAATTATTCACTAAATGTAACCACTTGCCATAATGTTGGCAGATAAATCTGTATCAATGCTTCATGTTGTAAAATATTAATCTGCTGAGTAACATTAATACCCTGTACATGTTTTTATTTCACAATGTTTTTTTTATATTTCAATGTAAATGTCTGTTTTCTTGCCAATAAAGCTTCACTGAATTAACCCACAGATGTCAGTTAATACCTAAATCATTTTCCACCAGTTTTCCATCAGCTGTTTATCTGAACTGAGCTGTAATCAAGAGCAGTTCAACCAAAACACATGAGGTCCCAGGCATCCGCACAGATTTCAGATTACACACATGTCAGCGTCCTCAGAGTTCATCCTCACAGCACTTTTAGAAACAGGAAGCTTACAGTCCAGTCTGACCAGAGGCGTAGGAGCAACTTCCACCGACCTGGTCTCTTTGCATGTATTTCCTAATAGATCATTAGTTTGTGTGACTGTAGTTTATAACTTTGGTTGTGTTTAGGTGTCATTTTGTACTGAATTACTGTAAATAAGCTCTATTAAAAAAATCTGAATCACTGATTTCTAAACTTCAGGACACAAGTTTCTTACGGTCAAGGATTCCGGGGCAAAAAAGTTTGTCCCTGGTCAGGCCACTCTGTGGACCAAGCATCAGTTTACCATCATACTTACCATATTACTGGTGCTGTGGACTCTGTGCTGTGTTGTGTTATTGCTTCATCTCTGCTGTCTGTCTCATGTTCACATGTCTGCGTTATTACTGGTGCCGCTGGCCTGTGGCGGGTAGAGTACTGAAATCTTTACTCGAGTAAAATACAACTACTCCCATAAAAAAATAAATCAAGTAAAAGAAAAAAATGACCAACGTACTCAAACAAAAGTAGCCCTATCATATATTTAATAATATGTAGCCTGATGAATTAGATGCCACACAGGACATAATTACTTCAGGGGTTCTTGTAGCTCCAGGTTTATTTCTGACCACATGTGCAGGTCATTTCACAGGGTGATATGCTACTGAGTCTTTAACGTAACCAGCTCAAATGCTGAATTTCACAGTTTCTAACAGCCAAAAATGTTAGAAGAAAGAAGAGGCAGAATAAAATACAGTAAAAATATGGTAGAAAATAGAGCAGTGGGCTATGACTATCGACAGAAAACATAAAATAAATCATGTTAACAACCATAAACCCACTTATATCAACATCAGTGTAATAAATGTGCAACTGTAAATGACACTTACACTTCACCAAGTTCCACCAAACCCACAACTCAACGCACTTTCAACGTCAATTACCTTCAGAGTTACAATTAATGTAAAACCTGTAACATTTCTCGAGTGACAAAGTACAATATCACGCTGACATTACCATGAAATTTACTACACAATGGTCGCCCCAAAATCCCAGCATACAGTTCCAGTAGTACCTAAATCAAACCATCTTGTCAAAATACTGACAGGTGATGCCATTATATACTTGTACATGAATATTTAACAAGATATACATGCATTTACCTACTGCTTTACACAACGAAGTCTCCGCACCAATCCCTCGTATGTTAAAGTCCAATTTATCCTTCTGCGTCAAATCATAAATAATGAAAACATCTTTAAGCCATTTCTTTCTGTCATCAACCATGGCCACTGTTGCTGCTTTGTATCTGTTGTGGAAGTCAGAAATACGACGGAAAAACAGACGCCGTTGTGTTTGGATGCATGAAACCATCAGTAGGCGCACACAGCTCATGGAATTTCACCGCCTTCTCCAGTAACTGACTGAAGTCAAGCCAGCCCTCGCGCTGTTTTGTGATGCGTGTTTTTACTAGGCATTACGGTAACATCGTGTCGCAGCACATTTCAAAATAAAAGTGAGCTTCTGCTGAACATAATGCAATTAATATGGCAGAAACGATTGAATAAATAAATAAATGCTTAAGACACTACAAGTATCTAAAGAAAATATTAGTCTCAAAGAAAGCTTAAAACATTCAGCCAAGATTCGAACTCGTGTAAAAAGAAAACCTTCTGTTTCCACCGATTCATTTCACTTCTCAGTGACAGCAGGCCACCTCAGGGAGACCCTCTGTCAATATCAGAGCAATCTGTTTAAGTTACAGCCCTTATATAATAATATAATAATAATATAATATTTTTGCTATTCGCAAAGATTCAAATTGACATAAAAAGGAAACGTCTCGGGTTATGTATGTAACCCTTGTTCCCCGAGAAGGGGAACGAGACACTGCGTCGGTGACGACACTATGAGAAGTTTCCTGGCTGGAAATTTATTTATCCAAAACTATCCTTCCGGACTCCTGCGATAATATTTATGTTACCCCAAAGCACTACACTATACAAGTTGCTACAAAAACTTATCTTATTCCATATTTATATATTCCCACATTTATTTATGCTGACTGTATGTTTGTCTACATGTAGCACCTTATCACCACAGCACAATAAAGCTCATTCTGATCCTGAAAAGGCATCTGCAGGCTATTAAGATACTTGGTTTTAAAAAAACGCTGCATTGCTTCCTCCGAAATGGACATATTTGAGAAAGGTTACCTGAAGTCTTTGTGAAAGCATACCTTCTGATGATACCTAAGCTAAATAATAAGATGCATGTTTTGAAATCATGTTAATCATCAATAAGCTATCTTTACATTGTGAATAATGTTGGCTGATAATGACAAAATGAAATCGGTTTAATCAGTAAAGGTTGAAATTTATTTTACTGTGTAAACCACACAACATTCAAAATTATTATTATGAACAACCAGGATAAAGAATCTGTCAGACTATTTGTGAGAGACAATTGATTGGAGTCTTTACTACTACTAGATATTTGACTTAATACTTTTATATTATTACCATTAAAACCAGTAAAGGTATTTAAAAAATAATGCAAAAATATAATTACGCTAATTTTAATGAACAACTGTAACCAATATAGCCCAAGTACATCAGTGTGTGTGCGTCTGCGTGAGGCTCCAGCTGGTGACGGAAATCACTCGTGGTCCAGTCCAGTAGGATGAGTGGAAGTTCTTGGGCAAAACCTTCAGTTCCTCTTCGAGGGAACTCGAACTGCCGATTTCTTATGA